ACAAGGCTATGCATACATTCCTGTACAAATACCCTCGCCACTACGCCACTGTCTGCGAGGGCTCCGTTCTGGACTTCCGGGGGAATTTAAATGCCTGCATTTTGTACCGCAATTTACGCAGACAAGTGAACGCGATCCTCATCTGACCTTCAGTGTTTCTGATTGCAGTTGACAGACATGGGCCGGTGGTCGTCTACTTACTGCTGTTCCCCCAGAATTGGATAGAGAGGGGGGAGGGTTGGTGTCAGACTGAACCACGGCACACGTTTTTAACGGTCTGAGAGGAGGCCACCGAGTCCACATCTGCGATCGCGTAGACGCGTGGTACGTCTTCCACGTAGACTCTCAACTACTGCGTCCAATGGGTTCAGGTCCGGAAAATCTCGACTACTGCAGGCGAGGGGGAAGAATGTGTTTCAAACTAGGGACTTGAATGGACTTCCTCGTCTCAGGACCAGACCATAAGGGTGGGGCTGTTGTCATAAACAAAGAGAGGTTATTTCAGCCAAATTAAATCAGTACTGGGTGGTTCCAGCATCCTTTCTCCTGAATCAGCGATACGGAGTTACCAAACATCTGAGAAATGACTCTGGAAAGTGCTGAATGCCCTGTGGTAGGCGGACATTATGGACGGCGTGAGACGGCTCTATCTGTCAGACCGTCCACATGCGTTCTCGTGCTACATAAGGTACCCTCCTCTTCCAACCTACTTTGTCTGTGATAATAAGGGCACTGGTAGATCAACCACCGACCACGTTCGTAGGGATTTTGTTATTCATAAAACTCAAAGATCTAAGCACACCAAACGGGTATGCGATTTCACCAGATGTGCACAGCCTGTTCACCAAAGTGCTGCTGCGTAAAACCACTGATGTAGTGCAGGACCACGCGTCTGCAATCCACCGGCAGATATCGCAGTTGCGCAGGAAATTTCCACACGGACAGTTACAGGCAGACTGCTGGTGCAGCTCTGGACGGGCCATTGGCTCAAACTTTAGTGGAGATTCGCAAGCCAACTCTTGAGACACCGCTACTTGAAGTCTTAAGGAAAATCACCTTCTGTAGATATGTGCACAACATATCCACTCTAGTTGATACTCCAAGACATGCAACAAGAGTGCCGAGAAATGGAAAATTCGTGCTAAAATACATTCATACTTAGAAAATTAAATGAAACGGGCTCTCAGTTTCAAAGCAAACTGTTGGCATTTGCCTCTTATTTCTAGGTGATAGCATATCCAACTGGACCAAGCGAAGATTCCCTGGGAGGATTAAATTGACACACATTGCCACCGACCTTATAATTACAGAGGCTACAACGGCCGTCCCGGTAAAACCCGATAAGAAGGCTCAGCTTCTGCACACTTTTAACCACTTTTATGAGTGTACAACTACCTACGAGTGTGTGTGGGTATGTGTGGCGGGTAGACTGGTGGCACACTCGGACGAGTTCCTGTCAAATTGGCGGCCAAGAGCCGGGGACGGGGCGTACGAAGGCTCAGTGTCAGAGCACGTGAGAGACAACTGGGCATGCTACCAATCCAGGCCTGGAAGATCATTTCCACTACACTTACGGACGACGCTCTCTCTCCGTTACACTGAGGCTATGGGAATGCGGTGCATAGCAATAGAGATTTTAAGGCCACTGGACTCCGTCATTAGCCACGTGCTGTCTTGTTGGTCAAGAGGTGTTAGTTGACGCCTCTACTGCCTAACTTTCGTTAGGCCAGTTCCCATGACTCATTTACCTCATTATCGCTGCCTGGCGACGGCGGTGGGAACTAATACACCCAGAAATGGCCGTTCGCATCCCCCCTTCACTGTGTCCATACTCCTTCTGCCTAGTTATATTTGTATTGGGGATAGACCTACCACTTGGAGTGCGAATTCTAATCCGACCATCATCAAAAACTGCAGCCGTACTCGTAGGCTGAATTTCGCCAATGTTTACTCCCAAGTCGTAAATGGCGGCTAGTCAATTTTCACCTAATACGGACTATAGAGGTCTGTGAAAAATATTCTCAAGAAATGTCAACTTCAGGCAATGTCGCTCAGTTGGATTAAGGAAACATTTTCCCATTCACGTCGAACCGAAACGATGCATCCGACATTTGGGTGGCCGTCTGATCCATTTGGCAATAGAAGGGAAGTCCACATATCATTCTGAAATGCAGCCATGTGTGTGTGTGTGTGTGTGTGTGTGTATGTGTGTGTGTGAATTTGTGATGTTGCTTGTTCTCGCTGAAAGAACGTGATTCGCATAGTGATCAGCTGGACTCCGGTTGTCCTGACCTGGGACTGGGGTGTGGCCTACCCATCGAATGCAAATGAGTCACAAATGTTCCTTCCTAGTCTCTTTTGTCTTTGTTCATAAGCATCTTAAGTACAGCGAGCTTCTCGGTTCCGTTATAAGTACATCTGCCTGCCATACTGAATTTTCCTTTAGTGTTGCTGCAAAACAACCGTCTATAGATCCAAGTTGTTTCAGATGCCCGTGAATGAATTATCGTATACAGTTGAATGTAGGCATGTTGGGGTGTCGAGGATGTATTTTTGTCAACGGTATATTCGTGTGACTGGATGGACGCTACGCGTCAATAATCTGACGAAGTTACCCTGCGGCCGATAGGCTGCGACAGACTACCACGCACTTTGAGGTGCCGTGGGAGTCACCAACTACGGTGGTTAGAGCAGACAGGACCACAGTCGTAGAAAGTAATTGTACAGCCAGCGACTGATCTCACGAAATGTTAACCGAAATCCTGAAATGTGTTTTCGATTACAAAGGATTACTTCAGTGAGGTTTTCATATTTACTACCGTGCAGCATAGTCACAAGATAATGCAAACACACCAGTATGTTGGTTTCTGAATTTTATTTCTTTTCTGCCGCCTGCAAACCCAGGCTTGGCAAAGATGACTGCATAGTTAATGTACATCTTACCCATTGATTTTCGGGCAAAATGTGGTTAGATAGTTTCACCTGATGAAAACAATACCGTTGGAGTTAGGGTTAGGGGTTAGGATTAGGGGTTAGGACAAATATTTCTCAATCCCTCCAAGTACAACCGGGCATTCCTAGTAGTTTTTCTTTAAGATACAACTAGTTGAACTTGCCATCTGTGCACTCCGCGGCCCCACCTGTAGTAACCCCTAGTACCACCGGTCCTGTATTGCAGGTGGCTGGGGTTTGCTTACTTCAGTTGGGGCTGCATAACCACATCTGACCGATTTTCGATTCCCCTTTAAATGCAAATACATTTTATAGAAGAAATGGACATAAATATACATTCTTGCTCCCATTCGGTAGTAAATCAGGTCTTTTTCAATTGTCTTGCTTAAAAAGGGGTTTAAAAGGATTTTAAAACGTTTATAATCATGGGATTTTTAAGGCCGTATAATATCCATTCGAACGACATCGAATCTGTCTGTTTACCAATGCTCCTTATGAAGTATACAGCATAATTCACATCCATTGCATCATTTTATAACCCGCACATTATGCCCTCTTAATGGCATAGGAGAATCTATGATTTTTCCATACACGGAAAGTATACAGCTTGCAAACTGAAAAACCTAAACGCGAATGCAGCTGCAGATCGGATTCAAAATTATTCGGGAACTAGAAAAGATATAAAACGTTAACATGTCCTTCTCTGAGTATAAAATTCAAAGACGAAGTGGTTTTCTACCAAGTGAGAACAAGAAAGTATAAGCGTCGAAAATCAATAGCAAGAAGTATGCCACTTATGTAGTCAATTTTTCTCCGAGTACGGTTATTAAAAATCGCCATCAAAAGGAGCGTTCAGAAGCCAAACTCTTGGTGTGTCTGATTTATCTTGGAACCATTCTGTACGATAGTCTATCTTATAACCCCGCCTAAGTAATCCATCCTAGTCGAAGCTTATCTCAGAATTTTGGTTAACATTTCATGAGATCGGCATTACACAGGCGGTCTCTACCTAACGGACCGACGAGTCCGGTGTATACTTCTACCTCTCTCTATCCAGGCATACACCACCCCTCATCCGTTGCTGCAGAAAGCCGTACTCAACAGAAAGACAACACTTAGGTAACCCTGCTTGGCCGGTGGATTAAACCAGATGCGGATGTACAGCCTGTGTGTGTGTGGGGGGTGTAGGGGTGTCCAGCGGTAGGTTCACGTGATGGTCGTAGTGGTCGCTCACTTGCTTGCAGGCGAGACTACGCCTAGTGTCCAGTTGCTGGCACACAACTCTCACATGTGGCTCCACGTAGCTGGGCTCTGCTCAGCGGCCACACCCCGAGCAACCGTCTCGACCGTGCGGGCTAAGCCAGGTGAGGGCGCTGTGCGCGTCGTGCCGCGTGCATAGGGTACTGCGGACTCCGCTGGACGGTTGGTCGGATGGAACACCGCGTCAGCACCGTCGTGACGAGGCTCCGTCTGGTACGCCGCTGGTCAGCCGGTGGGATGGATCTTCTAATCGACATCGTCGACACGCGCCCATCTGGTGCACCGTAGGAGACCGCGGGCTTACGACGATGTCGTAAGTCAATGGCAAATTCGAGTCGTTCTTCCACTGCCAACAAAATTCGTGGCCCACAGTGGAGTTCGGCCGCGCCAAAACGACACATAGGCAGCCCGATTCAGGGGTGGCACTGCCTGCCCTCGCGAAAGGAAGGGCCTAGAAAAGGTAGCCCAGACATTGCTGGGCACCACGCTGTCTGCAGGCTAGCCAGGGTCGCAGATGTCATAAACATGGTCGAAACAAACAAAATCGAAACAAAAATAATAACAACGACAATACTCGCTCTCCTCCGCATCTTGCGTCTTCTTCGTCTTTCTATGTCGATTCTTCTGCCTATGCTTCTCCTTCTTCATCTTCCTCTCTACCTCCTTTCCGCCGCCCCACTCGTCGTCACCAGACTGGCAGGCTGAGTCTGCTCACTCTGGCAGCCTGGAATGTTCGTTCCCTTTTAGACAATCTGGGGAGCAACTGACCGGAACGGAGGACGGCGCTAATGGCTCGAGAACTGACGCGCTACAAGGTGGTCATCGCCGCACTCAGCGAGGCCCGATTCTCCGGACAAGGTCAACTGAAGGAAGTGGGTGTCGGCTAAACCTTCTTCTGGAGTGGTCGCCCCAAGCCATAGCGACGAGACGCGGCTGTCGCCTTCGTCATCCGTAACGGCATCGTGGGACGACTACCCAGTCTGCCTCAGGACATCAACGATCGCCTGATGAGCCTCCGTCTGCCTCTCCGGGGTGGGGGCAAATTCGCTACCATCATCAGCGCCTACGCTCCGCCGATGAGCAGCCCAGACGCCGCCGCAAGAGACCAATTCTACGAGGACCTCCACGCCCTCTTGGCGACTGTGTCGGAGGCGGACAAGCTGATTGTCCTTGGTGACTTCAACGCCCCCGTCGGCAAAATCCATGCCGCCTGGAGAGGAGTGCTGCGTCCCCACGGTCTCCGCGGCTGCAAAGACAATGGGCTGCTGCTTCTCCGCACCTGCGCAGAGCACCGCCTCATCCTGACAAACACGTTCTTCTGTCTGCCGAAGCGAGAGAAGGCCACCTGGAGGCATCCTCGGTCGCATCAGTGGCACCTGCTGGACTATGTCCTCGTCCGAAGGCGAGATCAGCGAGACGTGCTGGTGACAAAGGCGATCGCGGGTGCTGACGGGTGGACTGACCATCGCCTCGTAATCTCGAAGAGCCTACAGCCTCGCAGGAGACCACAAGGTATGCGTCCCCAGGTAAGCTGAATGCTGCCTTGTTGTCTTTGGTCGCTCACCATCTTCATTTCAGCAATGAGCTAGCTCAACGGCTAGACAACCATCCAATCGCTGCCGACGCCGACGCCGACGCCGACCCCGCCGCCGCTGCTGCCGAGAATGCCTCCATGGAGAACCGCTGGTGTCAACTGCGAGACATGATCCAGTCGATGGCGCTAGCCGTCCTCGGTCGCGCCGTCATCAGCAATTTGCTTGCTGAGAAGAACAGCCTACAAAAAGCCTACGTAGATCACCCCACCGAGGACAACAGAGTTGCTTTCTACCGCAGTCGCCGCCAACTCAGCAACGATTGCGCGAGATGCAGGACGCCTGGACTGATCGCAAAGCTGAGGAGATCCAAGGGTACGCTGACCGCAACGAGTGAAAGAATTTCTTCTCCGCGATCAAAGCTGATTACGGTCGCGAACGAAGGACACTGTTCCTCTCCTCAGCGCCGACGGCAGCACTCTCCTCACTAAGAAGACACAAATCCTACAGCGCTGGGCCGAGCATTTCCGAGGCGTCCTCAGCCGCCCTTCCGCCATCTCCGACGCCGCCATCGAGCGTTTGCCGCAAGGTGAGACCAACGCGAACCTTGACCTCCCGCCATCTCTCCAGGAGACCATCAGGGCCGTGCAGCAGCTCTCCAGCGGGAAAGAACCCGGATCGGACGCGATCCCTGCTGAGGTCTACAAGAACGCAGGTCCCCAACTCATGGATCACCTGACTGCGCTCTTCCAGGAGATGTGGCGTCAAGGCGAAGTCCCGCAAGATTTCAAGGACGCAACCATCGTGTATCTATACAAGCGAAAAGGGAACCGCCAAATTTGCGACAATCACCGTGGCATCTCCTTGATAAACCACCGGGAAGATCTTCGCTCGCATCCTCCTCAATCGTCTGTATAATCATCTGAAAGAGGGCCTTCTGTCTGAAAGTCCATACGGCTTCCGTCGTCATTGTGGGACCACGGGTATGATCTTTGCCGCCCGTGAACTTCTGGAGAAGTGCCACGAGATGCGGACCCACCTGTACTCTACCTTCGTGGACCTGACGAAAGCCTTCGACACGGTGAATCGTGAAGGACTGTGGAAGATCATGCAGAAATTCGGCTGTCCGGAGCGATTCATTCAGATGATGCGTCAGCTGCACGACGGTATGATGACGCGAGTCACGGACAACGGAGCTGTCTCAGAGGCATTCGCAGTGACCAACGGAGTGAAGCAGGGATGCGTGCTGGCGCCTACCCTCTTCAGTCTTATGTTCTCTGTCATGCTAACGGACGCCTACCGTGATGAACGCCCAGTGATCCGCATCGCCTACAGGACAGACGGTCACCTTCTGAATCAACGGCGGATGCACTTCCAATCACGCGTATCTACAACTACCGTTCACGAACTTCTCTTCACCGACGACTGCGCCCTGAACACCACCTCGGAAGAGGAGATTCAACGGAGCATGAACCTGTTCTCCGCCGCCTGCGAGGACTCCGGTCTGGTCATCAACACGCAGAAGACGGTGGTCATGCATCAACCGCCAACCATCACAGCCACACCTCCCAACGCGCCACCGCCGCAAATTAGTGTAAACAGAACCCGACTGCAAGTGGTGGAGAACTTCCCGTACCTGAGCAGTACGCTCTTCCGTAACAGAAAAATAGGTGACGAAGTCGCTCGCAAGCTCTCAAAAGCCAGTCAAGCCCTCGGCCGCCTCCAAAGCACAGTTTGGAATCATCACGGTCTTCAACTAAACACGAAGCTGAAGATGTACAAGGCCGTCATCCTGCTGACGCTACTGTATGGAGCGGAGACTTGGACGGTGTACACGAGGCAGGCACGCCGACTGAACCACTTCCACCTCAGTTGTCTCCGTCGCATCCTGAGGCTGAGTTGGCAGGATCGCATCCCCGACACTGATGTACTGGAACGGACGGGAATCCTCAGCATCTACACCATGTTAGACAAATGCAGCTGCGCTGGAGCGGCCACCTGGTGCGCATGGACGACGAGCGACTACCCATACGACTCTTCTAGGGAGACGTCGCGACGGATTCTCGCCGCCAAGGAGGCCAAATTCATCGATACAAGGATACTCTGAAGTCCTCCGTAAAGCGTCTGCAAATCAACCCGACCAACTCGGAAGAGCTCGCTCGCGATCGTCCGACATGGAGGAGAACAGTGAAGACGGGCGCTGCTATCTATGAAGCCAACCGAATCGCCGCCGCCAAAGCGAAACGCGAAGCCCGCAAATCACAAATTCGCCCAGTCCGCAACGCCGCCGCACAACCGCTTCCAACGTGTCCTCGGTGTCAACGGACATTCCGGGCGCGAAATGGACTTGTTGGGCACATTCGGATCAACTGCACCGTTCGGACCGCACCTGCCGTCGTCCCTCCGTCCGCCCCTTCCTCATCCTCTCCGTCGCCAACTAACACTGACCACTCTTCTGAACCACCACTTCCATCGTCCTCCGCCTCCTCCTCTTGCTCCAGTGCCTCCTACTCTTCCCCCTCCTCTTCCTCCTCCTCCTCCTCCTCCTCCTCCTCCTCCTCCTCCCCCCTCCCCCTCCTCTTCGACTGCTCAAACGAAGACCGCTTTTGCGGCTGCCACGCACATCAACACCACACACATCCCTGACACAACAACAGACACCACGCCTACAACCTCCGACTCCAGAGGTGAGGACCAGGACTACGTCTGCCCCCACTGCGATCGCGCCTTCACCTCACGCAGCGGCCTGTTCGGTCACTTGCGAATCCATCGCACAGAGGCTGGCGAACTAGTGCCTGGAGCACCCATCCACACCCCCGACACTCGGCTCCACTGCCCACATTGTCCTCGAACTTTCACGCATCGCATGGGCCTATTCGGCCACATGCGCATCCACGAAGACCTGCGGTAAACAACCACCGGCTGCATCGCAAAATCACGCCCTCTCCCTCACCAACACCACCCCACCACACATCAAAACTCACCCACCGCAAGCACCCACCTGCCACCTACCACGCAAGTGGGAAGTGTGCATCTCGACTCGGTCCCCGTGCGGCTTCGGCTGCACAGGCGACTTGAGTCTGAGACTATCACGACACGTCAAGCGTCGTGGATAGGAAGGCTGCTGATTGACGCCCCACTCAGCCCACGCAGTCCGTCCCGTTGTGTGTGTGTGTGTATGTGTGTGTGTGTGTGCCCTCCAAACGGGCCACGTGTTAGATGCGCTGGGCCAACACGGGGGCCACATCGGACTTTGGCAGGCGTTCTCTGTGCGCAATAACAAATGCCAACATTCCCGGGGTGCGCTGGCGGACCCTGTTGTCGGCATTCGTCGCACAACTGGACCACTGCCTCCACCCCATTGTATTGTGGTCAAAATCCTGGTCTTGGTGTGTGGACCAGGGGTGCGGAGTGGAGCGCCAAGGCGAAGAACCGTCCGAGCCATCCACCTGCGGCCTCCCCCGTCTCCGGTCTTCTTGACTCTGTCTTGACACCGGGCCCAGGCGGGGGAGGAGGAGAGAGTGTAGGTAGATGCTACGCAAGTCTACTGGCACTATAAACCCCTGCGTAAGTCACCGTCCCTGCTCCCACAATGCAGTCTGTGGGGCACACGGTGGTCATCGTCGAAATCGACGGACGAACTGTCGTGTGTGTGTGTGTGTGTGTGTGTGTGTGTGTGTGTGTGTGTGTGCCTGGGGGCCATATCGTGCATGTGGCACATGCAGGCATGGTCAATCGACCATGCCAGCCACCGCGCCCATCTCACACTCCAGTCTGCTGACCGGCTCGGACAGTGGCTGGGTGTGGGAGTGGGAAGGGAGAGTGAGGTCACGACTCAGCGCACTTTCTCCTCACTATAAACAATTTGACGCTCTTGAAGCTATCACGGTGCGCTAAAAGCCATGGCCTGGAAGGTTTCCAACTGACGGGGTACCTTGCACCTCCTCTTTCACGGGAGGCGGTCTGAGAGTCAGGCTGCAATGGCTCCTTCTTAGTGTGGTCTTTATGGCACTCCCACTGTGCGGGATCCGAGCCAAGCTTTGGCGGCACGCCCAGGTGCGGCTTCGGCCGTGCCAGCCCCCAAGTCTCTGTTGTGTTGGTTGAAATCCTGGCCATTGTTGTGTGGACCAGGGGTGCGGAGTGGAGCGCCAAGGCGAAGACCCGTCCGAGCCATCCACCTGCGGCCTCCCTCGTCTCCGGTCTTCTTGACTCTGCCTTGACACCGGGTTTAGGCGGGGGAGGAGGAGAGTGTAGGTAGATGCAGCGCAAGTCTACTGACAATATAAACCCCTGCGCAAAAAACCATCCCTGCTCCCATCGCTGCTGCTGTGGAGCACACGGTGGACATCATCAAAATCGATGGTCGAACTATCGTGTGTGTGTGTCACCGCACCCAGTCCTCCCTCCACTGATCCATAGCGCCAGACAAATATTCCTACACAGAGGACGACATGTAATCTCGTATGAGGTTGGAGCTAATTCAGGCCATCCTCCAAATTTAACAAAACAATAACCCCCGGGGGGGGGGGAATGACGGCAACCGTCTTGGAGGACTCATTAGAAATATTTACGGAAGCGCAACTCACCTCCTTTTGATCGAACCAGTATAAAAAACAACACTAATGTATCTCTCTCTCATCCCCGAGCCTCTTCACAGTCTGTCAGGTTGGCATTGTTCACTCTAGGTCATTCAGTTCATTCGTGATTGTATTTGTGAAGAAAAAGCGGTGTCGAGGAAATCCTTGTTTGTGTACCAGCAGTCAGGAACATCCGCTCCTGAAATAACCTCTTTTCCAGCCAGAACGGATATGCCGCGGTTGTCATTTTGTTACTACCAATGAGAGGGTTCGCTTAGGGAGACAACTAATACTAAGGAGAAAAAGCTCAATTTCTATTGCGGGTCATTTTGCTCGAAAATTTCTACGTCGTCCTCATACCAAAAGAGTACTGTCTATGGGTTTCCAGTATCTTTTTTTGGAAAAATAAGAATGCCTCTGAGGCGGCGGCATATGGTCCGATTCACAGTCATAAATAACAGTCGGTGCGATTGTTAAAGGCGCACACGTAATGGCCTGGATGGGAATGACTGATTTTGACGAACATACTAGCTCTTAATCTGGCCTGATGCCAGGTTTTTTTTATTTCTAGACGCAAACTCACCCAGTGTTTTGCTGCAGACACGGTGGATCTCGATACTTTGTCACATAACTTGAAAGACGCCGCCTCTTGCAACCCGAGGAACTTAGGAATAGAGGGGCTTTTGGAAGAAAGGCAGCACTGGCATTATTTTCAACGTTGGGATAATCTAAAATGTGCATTAAACAGTAAGAAAAGCGTGGTTAGTCTCTCAATTTAACTTCCTTGTACTAGCCCAAATATGGCACTTTCTATGAAGGATCTTTTAGATATTCGTATTTTACAACCAAAAAACAAGCTTTCGCCGTCAACTAACAGTTAACCAAATATCAATATTTGACATTTGAGAATACCTTTCATCAATTGGATTAGAAGGGATTACCTAAAACACCGAATAGAGTATCGGGCGTCGTACAGAATGCTGCCGACGCCAACAGACTTCAAGCTTCTTTTGAAAGGCGTTAACGATCATAGATGCTGATTTTGCACGAGAACGAGGTATGCCGCGCTACGAACGCCTGTTGAACATTGATACTTAATATATCTTGGCGGAAGTATGAGATATGATGTATAAAACCTAAAGACTTATTGTTGGTCATTAACAATATAGAATTAGAGGTTGAATTCAACCATTAGCACTGTTCTACCTTAAGACAGGAGCCTGACTGTCTTCTTTTCATACAATGAAACGTTTCAATAGTTCGTATTCGTTACTTGAAGACACTCTAAAGGTGGCAGCGCTCCGCATATTTTGAGGGAAAAGGGAGATGTTTATTCATATTTCTAGACTCAAAGTTAGGAGCCATAAGTTTTCGCTTATCTTTGGGCCCCTGCGATGGGCAGATTTTTGTTTAAATCTTTGTTGTTCGAAAATAAGTGCATACCACTTTTTTTCCTTCTGCCCACTGCTTCGATTTTCAATAACAATCGCACCAGGAAATGCCCCTCATCGTGCTTTACGTGATGAGATTGGATGAACTTCAGGTAAAGTGCCCTACCACCGACCATTCGAAGTTTTGCTAGGACGGAAGAACATATGAGGTGTATTCGTTCAGTGGCCTCTGTTTCAACTACAACTCGCAGCCCTAAATTTTAGGACATGTTTGAATCCAAAGCGGGTCACATCAATGTGCTTGTGTTTACCGCTTCACATCTCTGACCCAGGCGGGGGGGGGGGTGATATTTGGTCGCTATGTTGGTCCACTGCCTTGACAACAACGAGGTCAACCATGTGCCCCTCTGTGGCCAAGCTCCCGACCGCAAACATAAATCCAGCCCTTTTGGTTGACAGCGTGTGTGTGTACATAAACTTGAAACCTTTATGAAGCGTTTTCCAGTCGACGCACCAGCTGTGCGTCGGGTACAACTGCTTGTAAATACGCAAATTTACTGCCACAGACCTCAGGACAGCCGTCCGGACTTGTTAGGAGCTAGGGGAAAGCAGGCGGAGGAACCTCTGCATTGTAATAGCAAGCAAACGGTTGAGCGCGGGAGTAGGACCTTGTCCTAAGTTTCAGGGGCTTATTGGTGGAGTTTGAGTTATTCGCGTAAGGACTGGCGCTAGGGTCAGACTAGGATATCAGAAATAAGCACCCACACCCTGGAAACTAGTGCGAAAGCCACCCCCAGTACAGGAGGACCCATATTCCCGTGACCGATGAAACAAATTACAGTTTACGCAGAAAGTCGCGAAACGCTGACTGCCATTTTCAACTAAACCCTTGAACACAGAATACTAGTTAAGTGACAAAGTAGCAATGATTGATTCGGTAGATACCAGTCATGCTGTAAACTCGGAAAGCTATCTCGTGAATCGTAAACCGGAATTCCGAAATACGTTCTCGGTTTGAAACTAGTAAGCAGATTTGTGATATTAACTGTCCAGCGGCGTAATCCTAAGAAATTTCAGTCATGTCAGAGTGCTGGCTCTAGAATGAGCTTTTTTAAACCGTCCGCAAAAACTCTGCTCTGTAGAAAATGGCTACTTATGTAGTGTGAATTTTCCCTATTGATCTTCTGAGTCTTTATAAATTCATTTATATTTTATAGGGACAGGGCACAAAAATATTCTCTCCTATGCTCATATTCACATTTTCTTCTTGAAGAGGGAACATCTTTCGGTCTTCAAAAGCCTTCTCGAATTCTGAGTAATTATCTGCCCCAGTTGTCATTACACTTGCATTCCGGGTTTCGAAACTAAATTCTCTATACATCCCATCAAAGATAAGTCAAATATTTGTCTACACGGTTGGGAGAACGTCATGGTGCACTCATGAAATTGTACAATGGATGTGGACCAGGTTGTATACTGTAGCATTAGTAGACGTGCTGATACCATGCTGTACGATTGGACATTTAACGATTCCGAAGCTCAATTTTATAGTAGTATTTGCAGACGGTCGAAAAATTGGCATCCTGACGTGACTGAAATATCTTAGCGTTATGCTGCAGGATAATGGATATCACAATCGTACTTAAGTAATCATTTGAAATCAGAAGCACATATCGGAATCTTCGTTAACGTATCATGAGATAGCACATCTGCTGTATTAAGAAACCTGCGGACAAAAGACACCATGAATAGTAGCTGGGTTTCAAGTATCGGCCCCGGTCCTCCGTGAGCATATTTCAGCTTGGGAACAAAGGTGTGGAGTCAGCGCGAATAAAAGAAAAACCTTATTTTAACTGACCCGGGAAAATGAGGCCGTAGATGGTAAAATAGGGGGCCTATCCGTTAAACAGAAGGAAGAAGACACCAGTAGAGGCAATTTAGGG